CCATCTCTGCTTCCCGCTTCCCGGTGCCAATTCACTCCCCGTTGCTGGGTGTCTCATGGCCTTGCTGTCTCGGTGTAATGTGATATCGTAGGAGCCCGCCCCCCCCCCACAGTTACTGCTCTGCTCTGTATCAGTTTCTTCTGCTTCCTCTGAAGCTGCGGCCTTATGGTGCGGCAGAGTGTCTGCGTGTGTATTTGTATCTTTTTGATTGTCTGTGACTTTATGTGCGTCTGTGGTCGTTCGTGATGTCAGAGTTCAGCTTCTCAGTTGCTGCAGGCTGCATTGATTGTGATCGCTAGTAGTTGCTCGATGTCGCTGACTGTGCTGGTTATATTGTAGATGCTGTGAGTTGCTGGTTGCACTGGTTGCAGATGCCACATATTTCTGGTTACACTGGCTCTGTGTACAGAGACCAAGTGGGTAGCGATGGAGGTTCTGGACTGCTGGTTCGATTCCAGCCTCTGCTCTGGGTCTCCTATACTGGTGGCTCAGGTACCACTCGAAATCTAAGAACAATTGTTCAGGTTTCTCTAAATGGCTCTCAGCGTGCTGGTGTTCAGCTTTCACTCAACAGCATCCATAATGTTGATGTTCAGGTTCCTTTAAATGCCGCTCAGCATGCTGATGTTCAAGTTCCTCTAAATTTCTCTCAGTATGCTGATGATCGGGTTCCACTAGGCAGCTCTCAGTGTGCTGATGTTCAGGGTCCACTAAACACCTCTTAGCTTGCTGATGTTCAGGTTCTCTGTCAGCTCCCTATGCTTCCCAGACCCGGCTCCAGGTCCTCGTGGCCATGATATGACAGGGTAGCTATCACATATTAACACTGTGCATCGGATCTCATGTCTCTCTGATGGCCCATGGTCAAGTTTGCCCATCGTCTACGGATTCCGTGCATCTGCTCTGACTTACAGAAGGTTTCTGCGGTCCACTCTGTCAGCTTACCTGGTCCAGGGTTCTTTAATGCGGTGCTTCATGATGTCGTTCTGCACAAACAGTCCTTAGCACCTGGTAGCATGCAGCCCCAGAGAGCGATATCCCAGCCGACCTGCTTCCACTCGGTTGGAGGAACAATTGCAGCCACTCTAGAGCAGGGGGGCGATGTTGTAGTCGTCTCCTCTTGTAGTCGCCTCCTCTTGTAGTCGTCTCCTCTTGTAGTCGCCTCCTCTTGTAGTCGCCTCCTCTTGTAGTCGTCTCCTCTTGTAGTCGCCTCCTCTTGTAGTCGCCTCCTCTTGTAGTCGTCTCCTCTTGTAGTCGCCTCCTCTTGTAGTCGCCTCCTCTTGTAGTCGTCTCCTCTTGTAGTCGCCTCCTCTTGTAGTCGCCTCCTCTTGTAGTCGCCTCCTCTGGCAGTTCATTGTAAAATCTGCCAGGCTGGAGATACGAAAGTGTTTCAGATCCAGCATAGACTTTGCTATCTATTATTTATTTGCTTATTTATTTATCCCCGATTGTCTCACATCACTTAACTTCACTCAGGGGTGCAGCTTCTTTACGAGAGCAATTCAGAGCTGTGTGTGTGTGTGTGTGTGTGTGTGGGTGTGTGTGTGTGCAGAGTGCAGTCCCATGCAGCCAGATAAAAGAGATGAGCCCCACAGGAACAAAGCCGGCAGCTGCCCTCTCTGCGTGCGGAACGGGGGAGGGAGAAGGTACCACGTATGCGTGTGCGTGTGCGTGTGCGTGTAAGTGCTCGCGCGCGTGGACGCCTGGGGAGCAGGCCGCTGGCGTGGCTCAAGGCCGAGGCTGTTTCTCTCACTGGAAAGCGACGGTGTCAGCTGGACGTGTGTCGCCGCACGTTTCACGCCCCTGTGAGGATGGTACCAGTTACAGGGATCACTGTCCAAAAATAACAATCCCCTGCCCTGTAGTCAGCTGCGGGAGAGACCAGCACTGGGGGGGGGGGGTATCACCAGGCTTCTTACTGCTTAAAATGAAAGGAACTGGGTTCGGTACCATTTTATACCATCCATCCATCTGTAGGCCCTTCCATCTATCCTACAACCACTTGACCAGTATGTTTTTGGAGAATCGGCATCTCCGAATTGCCTGTGATGTGTGTTTGCATGTTATGGCGTGTGACATTGTGTGTGTGTTTGTGGTTATGTAAATATTACATTGTGGGGACCATATCTCTGCGATATCATGACAAAAACCTGTTATTTTGGTGTTGTGGGGACCATATTTTTGCCAAAAGTCTTGCATTTTGTTTGGTTACTTATGGTTAAGGTTCGGGCTGGGTAGGGGGTTAGAGTTGTAATAATTGGGTTTGAGTTTGCCCCATAGAAATGGATGGACCGCCCCCATAAAGATATAATTACAAACCTGTGTGTGTGTGTGTGTGTGTGTGTGTGTGTGTGTGCCCTGTGATGAACTGGCATCCTGATGTGCATCGTCCAGCAAACTCACTTTTTGTTTACACTCCGCAGTCACAGAGAGGCGCCAGCTCTCTGCTCGTTCCCCTGATCTTTCTCTCTCTCTCTCTCTCTCTCTCTCTGAAGCCTAGAATGTCCCTGCATTGCGCTGCGCGAAGCTCTGAAGTTGGCAAACATCTCTTACCTTGACTGTTTTTATGAGTCTGTTTATGTAAATCCGCACCCCTGCCATTTATTAGCAATGTGGCTGCATGCCTTCTATATCCTGTGATGAATGTTTGTAATGTTTTGCTTTTTTTCCCCCTTTAATCCTGACCAGGTTATTATTGTAAATGAGAGGATCTCGCTCAGCCGGCCTGGCTGAATAAAAGCGTAATTTAAAAGTGCTGCTTCAGGGAAAAAAAAGTTCATATCACGCACTTTGCTCTCCGACTCTGTTTTAATTGGAGGGAAAATCCATAAACAAACGGCCCCGTCGCCCCTGTCCTACCGTAGGCTCCGGTTCGGCTGGGAAGACGATCGCGTCCCGGTTAGTTGATGGCCTTTTCGTCCAGAATTGATGCGTTTGCGGTTCGTTAATGAGCTCGCTCTGGGGGCCCAGCCACCGAACTGGGGCTTTCGGCAGAAACCAGAATTAGTCTCGTCGTCGATCTTTCAGAAAATTAAAAATCGTAAAAAGGACCGAATTTGCGTAACAGGCGTTCAAAACGATTTAGGCGCAAAGAGCGTCATTCCAGGCGTTCTATTACTTCAGCCTCTCATGCCTGCCCCATTATGACATGCCACTGACTCCGTCCCCCCTCCACCTACAGAAATACAGGTACCAGGATGAAGAGACCCCCCCCTTGGAGCACAGCCCCGCCCACCTGGCCCAGGGGAAGAGCGGCGAGCTGCTGCACATGAGCGACAAGAACCTGGCGGCCATGGATAATGTACACGGATACATCCCCCACGCTCACCTATCCCCCATCAAGGTGAGTCCAGGGGGGCGGAGCTTTGGAGATAAGTTACACAATATTGTTTGGGGATACGACCACATGGGGCACTGACCCCAGCTGATTGGCCCCCGCTTCTGTCACTCATCAATTCAAAACATATTATTGGCTCATGGTAAGGTTGGCCCCTCTGTATGAATTATGGCCCCTGAGTGGTATACGCCCTCTTACTCATTCACACCCTCTCTTTGCCCCCCCGCTCACTCCTTGCTCTCCCTCTGGGGCGTGCAGGACCATCTGTCCATCCTGGCGGCGTAGGGGGGGTGGGAGTCCGACTGCCTTTTAACGGCTCTGCATTATTTAGCCCCCCACCCCACCCCACCCCACCCCACCCAACTGGCACACAGAGGCAGACACTTTGTTTGGCTGCGGTTTCATTTTAAATCCATCCTCTTTATTAATATTACATTTCCACAGCAGTTATAGTGTTCTTACCACATTTGAATCCCTAATATATTTCTGCTTATTGAAATGTTGATGTGTGCTGGCGTTTCTTGTATAATAGACCTGGTATGTTCAATGCGGATAAGGTCTCTTACTCATGAGTCCCTATCATGGTGATCGGCAGGGCCATTTAGCATCTCCCACGTTCCCATGTTTCCTATCAGCTCTCCCCTCCTGACCAATAAGGATGCTCACTTTCCCATCATGTCTCCCCTCCCCACCAATAGGAATGCTCTCTTTCCAATCGGGGGCCCATTTCCCCATACAATGTTTCTTATATCCCCGGGATGCCCTGCGGTGTACAGATGGAGATGGGAGTGTGTGAGGTAGGAGTCGCCTGAGGGTCCTGACATCAGTCAGCCTTCACTTATGACATCAGAGATGGGCTCAGGGGTGTCCTCTCTGTTGCCTGTTTTTGTGTCTCTGAAACTGAACCAGTCATCCAGGCAAAAGCCCTCGAGGTTTTCTGCAGGGGGACAGATTTTGGGGCTGTCACCTCTGCCTGGCTTCTCCCCTAGTAGCTGGTCTTGTCCCTTTGCTTTATAGGTAATGCAATCATCGACAATCAAGGCTTCAAGTTTCTCTCAAGACTAGTAAGTGTATAGAGGGGCGGGCCATGTGGGGCACTGACCCCAGCCAAAAGCTGATTGGCTTGCCCTCCTGTCACTCACCAATTCAAAACATATTATTAGCTAATGGTAAGGTTGGCCCATCTGTTTGCAAGACTATACTATGTCCAGGGTTCCTCCAAATGGGTGTCAGTGATATAAATTACTTACATAAAAAGCATTTATTAAGACATGAAATCAAATCAAGCTCTGAGACAGGGAGTTGGTCCTATTTTAGCATAACAATCTCCAGGCACTGATTGGACTTAGATTTAATTACAATATTGGTCTCTAGAATCTTCAGAGTGTCTATGGGGTTCCCCTTCCCTCCCTGCTAATACGCCAGTAGAAATGTTAAAACGAAAAAAACCTGAATGTTGATTGAGGGAAGGAAGGTCGCTCTGAGGTCTTTTGATGTGATACGTTATTGTCTGGAGTTACAATTATTTTTGGAACGCTGTCCTACTTGGTTGTCTCCACGTTTGGGAGAAATTTAAATCCAAACTCACTAGTAATTCTACGCACTGTGTGGCGATTTGGCTCCCCCTTGTGGTTAGGAAGCGGAACCACCGACTATTTCAGCACAATGGACAGCTCACGTTATGATATTTACGTTACGCCCTACATCTGCATCCCTGGTATTCAGAACGTTGTGACAATGATGGCAGTCTGATGGCAGTTCATGTGCTAGTTTTATAACTATTACTGCATCCTTTTCTTCCTCCCCAGAGTTCTTTCTTCCATTGGTAATTTTTCTTTCCCTCAAATATTCCTGATATTGCTTCATTTTATCACTGTGAACGTCACTTAATCCTCCCAGCCCCTTCCACATAAAGCTCCTCCTATTGGTTGTTCCCCTGGAAGGTTCCATCCCTTAGTCCCGCCCCCAACCCCTCTGGTGTCGCCCTGTGGAATCACCCCCTCCCTCCTGTGTTATCTTGCAGCCAGTGTTGATGTCGGCCGGGCACACCCCCCTCTACACTTCTGCCACCTCCACCCTGGTAAGATTGCGCGTCTGCCCACGGGCGGCCCTCTGTGACATCATCAAATCGCGCCAACGTCACCTTCTGACATCCCATTACTTTCCACCGGTGTCATCGGTGCTGCCGTCGTTTTCCTCATCGTCATCACCATCGTTTCCTCTCTGCAGAGAGAGCCGCTGCCGTCTTGTACATTCTGGCCGCTTCTTTCATCATCGGCCGCGCTGACGGCTCTCACGCCTCCATCTTCACATCGCAGGGCGTCGTTAACATTGCGCCGTAATTTCTGATGTTTGTGTCTTTGTCAGCGTCCTTGATCTGAGGAGATGTACGTAATGCTGCCAATCACTCCAGGGCTTTTATAATCGTGTCTCTTCTGTATAAACACAATGTCGGAATGTAGCTGTGTAGAGACGCAAAAGCTCTCACATGATGTCAACGCTGCAGAGTTCGTCTCTGTGGACTGGCGCTCATGTGTGTGCGCACATCAAAAGAACATTTGACGCTCTTACTGATTGGTGTCATAGACAGTTGTGCTAATGCCCACGTTAGGGATTAACATCTGAACACCACAGCGAACTCAGACAATCCTGACTGCTCCGCTCACATGGACGCGATGACGTGTGTTTTCTTCTACCGTTCATTCCCTGTGGGGCTTAATTAGCCTCATTAGTCAATTATTTAGATTTGAACTTTTTCATGCTTCACGAGTAGAATCCTGTGGTATCTACGTCATTGATGGTCAGGTATGAAGATTCCTCCAGGAAAGTTATTTAAGCGTGAAGGTAAAAGCAGTCATTAAATCTGTGTTTATACGTACACACACCGGCTGAGCGTAATGTAGGTGGGGCTGGCGGCTGTGGGGTCTATTCAAGTTGAGACGTTGTCACAGGTGATCCGTATGGTTAAGGATTACCCTGTAACCAGCAGGAATTCTGATTACCTGTAACTTATCTGCATAGGACTACAGCCCAGCCATAAATCTGTAACCTTATGACCTTCTGTGAAGAGCAGATGTACGCGTATCGAATCCCCGGGTCCTGTTGTCTGGCCGTGTGTCGGCAGTGCACTCATACATCCACGCTGGCCTCTTTCTTACCTGGCTTCCTGTTGTACCATTTAGCTTAACCTAAATGACTTGTTTTTTTTTTTGTTTTTTTTTTTTTTTAAAAAAAAGCTGATAATACAGCACCTAGCAGTTTCTTCTATTTGTTTAAATGTGCAAAATAAGGACAGGAGTCATGACCGTTGTCTGATTCCGGGCCCAAATGGCACAGTTAGCTAATGGCCCCCATTTAAATGGTTGACTGTGTGTTTCCGCGTAACGGCTGCACAGGGAATATGGAAACTATACTTGCAAAATCTGACCAGCAGGAGCATTCACCGCACCACCGGAGTCTGGCCAGCGGGTGGCAGTATTTTACCTTTTGATCTATTCGTATAGAGCATCCCGCGCTAACGGAGCTTTTTATTATGCTGCGTGCACAAGTGCCCCACGCTGTGGTTTCAGCAGAGACTTTAATATACTAATAAAGGATGGATTTATTCATACAGAGGGCAAGCAGTTCTGACCATTTAAATGGCAAACGTTTTATAAATGTAGTCCATTACGTTGAATTAAAATGACTCTCAGTGACCTTCTGATTTGAATCTCTGTTTACGGGGGTGACAGAGGTCAGGAACCAGACCCCGAGACTATTACTGATACATGCGCCCAGAATCTATAACTGAAGTTACTGACATGGCACAGAATAGTCAATCGCCGTAAATTACAGAAACATTTGAATTGTCTTGATGTGGTGCAATCTTCTAATGTCACACACACACACACACACACAGGAGTGACTCACAGAGAAGAGCGACTGTGAGATGACACTTGAGGATAAGACTGTTAAATGACTGGTAGAGATGGAAGGAGAGTGACCCGCCTGGGTGGGGTGAACAGGGTGTCCAATCACCTGTGGTGGCCATGGGGGTTAAACAGCACTCACTAGCAGCCCCGTTCCTGCCCCCCCTCGCACCCCATCCCTGCCTGTACCTATCTGCCAGTGGCCGTAAAAGACGACACTGCGGCACTCGGAGAATGCTAACGCTATTGCCACTGCTAACGGGCTCTGGGGGCCGGCCCACATCTCCACACCCTTCAGCATGCCGCCTGCCGTCACGGGCCCTTCCTAATCTCCACACCTCACCAGGGATCTGAACCTACAACCTACTGTGGCCCTCTTGGCTGCTGCCCTGACTTGCATTTGCTGTGAGGTGTCATGTGACTTTCAAATAAGCCCCATACTAACTCCCCCCATGATGATCTGTCTTATGTCCTGAGGGGGGCATCAATGATACTAATAGCAGTGCTCTTACTGGAGCACCCCCCTGAATTCTGTTTGCATAATGTGTGTGTGTGTGTGTGAGAGAGAGAGAGAGAGAGAGAGATCATCTTAACTCATAACAGACATTCTGTGAGATTTCTTTGTCATACCCACAATGCTTTGCAACATCCCAACTTTAATTGCATTACAAAAATATGACTGTACCCTTAGCGGTATGGCTCCCAGTGTCCATCGCCAGTTTCTGCTTACGTAGTTTAATAAAAACCAAGCCCCTCACATCATATATTCCCTGCCCTGCCTCATAACTTCAAGTAAATTGGATTCGGAGAGCTGAAAATGCTTTATCGTGTGATTATTTTGGCTCTCAGAGACGCATCCTGAGACAAACTTTTTGTAGCCCTCCACGGGGGTCCTCTCCGCTCTGCACTGTCAGATTCTGTGGATTCATGGGCACCGGCATCTCACTTCCTGTTTGGTTGCAACCATGCAGGAATTCGGTGCATGGACTCAGTCGCGTTCCGATTTCGGGTTAATCCCTTAAACCACTTTACCTTCTGGTTCCCGACTCTCTTCCGTCTTCATCGCCATCCTCCTTCCCTCATTTTCTCTCACTCTTTTTGCAATCTCTTCAAGCCCCTTCTTTGTTTGTGGACGGCAGCCTCTCCGGGATTCTCTACCGCAAGCGGCTAAGGCCGGGATAGTGGAGTAAGACATGTTTTGGAAGCGAGGTTGATATCTGGGAATAGGAGGAGGTTGGAGGGGGGGGGGGTGTGGGTGAGCGAGGGATGCAAGAGGGAGGAGAGTGAGAATTGCTCAGGGAAACAGAGAATGAGGATCAGGAGAAGGCGGGAGAGTGAGGGAGAGGTACAAAGAGCTGACAGGATGAAGTCTTATTTTCCAAAGCAAACATGTCAGCCTGGCCTGACCTTACATAATGCTGCCCTCCTGCTGTGTATGCCGAGGAACCGGGACCCGCTCGTGTGCAAGTGTCCAGCGTGTCGCCAACTTTCCAGCTTTTCATGGGGAGGAAATCGGGGACTTGTACAGGGCGGGGCCACTGCCCCCAGCTGAAAGCTGATTGGCTCACTCAGCGATTCAAAAAATATCATTGGCTAATGATAAGGTTGGACCCTCTGTATGAATTATGACTCCCCTTACGCCCCCCGCCCCACCTTAAAAAATACTAGAATAACTCCTGGAGAAATTGTGCTCTCACAAAGACAGTTATGAAAATTATGAAACTGGGGGAATGATGCTGTCTGTGCGCTGTGTGTCTGCGTATTGGATGTGTTTGCATGCTGAGTGTGTTTGCGTGCTGTTTGTCTGCATGCTGGGTATCTGCATGCTGTGTCTGCACACTGTATGTGTCCACACACTGGGAGTGTTGAGCACATGGTGTGTGTGTCTGTGTGATGTGTGTGCCTGTACACGGGGTATCTGCATCTGTGCGCTGCATGTCTGCATGCTGGATATCTGTGTGTTGTGTGTGCCTCTGTACTATGTATCTGCACAGTGTGTTTGCATGCTGTGTGTGTTTGCATGCTGCGTGTCTGCACACTGTCGATCTGCGTGCCACGTGTCTGCATGCTAGATGTCTGCGTGTTGTATGTGCTTGTATGCTGTATGTGTCTGCATCTGCGTGTTTAGCCTGGACATTCATGCATATTCATGTCACGCTCCACTCTCCTCGCTCTTCTTAATGCACGGTGTGTGCTCATCCCAGCCCGTCCTTCACCGGTACCACAGCCTGCTGCCAAAGGCTCTTCGGAACACAGAGGTAGCGCACAGGTCCAGCTGGAAACGGCGCCGGGGGCCAATCAATACAGTAAAATACTACATCCAAGTTAACAAGGCTCCTCACGGCCACAGCCCCCTCCCCAGCTCATCCCCACTGCGGCTCTGGTGCCATACGCAGTCCTGAGAGTTAGTGACAGGCAAAATGATACTTATGAACCATTTGATGTATTTTTTGACTCCACTAGATGGTGTTGTCTGTTCAAAAAAGGATTCAAAGCATGCCCCAAAGCAAGCCAAGAGCGCCATCTAGTGGGGTCAAAAAAATACAGCAAATGGTTCATGAAGCTTTATTTGCCCATTACTACTGAAAGCATGGGGCAGGCAGTGGGAAGGCATGCATTTGGGCCCGTCCTCTGATTTATCTGCTATCGTAGGAGCGGGATAGGGATTTGTCCGTGTTTGTCCCAGGTACCAGAGCGCCCCCTTGTGGTGTCGAGTGGTGGAAGCCCCCTTGGATGGACCTGAGTGACAGGCAACATGAGGGGGGCAGTGAAGAGGGTATCAGAGAGTCATGCACGTTTCAGACGGACCACAGAATCACATTTACTTTTAATCATTTAGCCGACTTCATCTAGACTTCACATTCTTTGGTCACTGAGGCAGATACATTACAGATAGTACCCAGGTAATTCTGTGATGTCTTCTACCTGGATGTGACAGTCAATCTACAAGTAGCTTTAACTCCATCTGTGCAGATTTGGATTTAAACAGTATTGCTCTTTGCTTTTCTATACTTTAGCTTTGACACATTATTTATTACCTGCTACATCCCAAATTCCACCCACGTCCTAAATTATTTCTATTAGATTTACATGAAGGATGGAGAGACTTGGCTCTGGAAATAACGCTGAGATTAAATAATAACAGGGAGGTAAACCAGAGGACCGCCAGGGA